GTCCAACATAAATGAGGAAGAAAAAAATACTTCTGACATTTCCAAAAAACAGAAATAATAGCAAAGTATATTAATATACATTCAACATATACTGCGCGTATTGATTACTACAATACAAAGCAATGATTAAAAAACAAAACAAAACAAAACAAAACAAAAAAAAACAAGTGTGATACTGCGAAATGGCACGGTTATAAGCGAGTCCCTGCTGTGGTGGGTGCTTACTGTAGGGTGGCCAACTCTCCCAGGAATACAGTGTCATGTAAACAAAAGGAAAACAAACCAAAGGTAGAGAGCAAAAGGCTTTCAGTGTCTCCTGGCCCCCCCAGCTCCTGCATGGTGCTGTTTGCCTGCCCAGGAGCTGTGATTGCCAGCTGTGGGCTTTTCCTCCTCTCCAGCTTTCCAGCCTGTGAATCCATTGAGCCTCATTTTCCTGGGGACCAAGGGGTGGGGATGTGTGTGGGGGGGGGGGAGGCATTGGTAGCGATAGCGAATTAACCTCTGCCATGCTGGTTTCACACTTCCTTCTGTGCAAATTCAGGAGGGCTGGGTTGATTCTTTTATTATTATATATATATATTTTAAATATTCCAAAAGTGTCATTAAAGAAGAATTTCAGGTGTAGCTTCAATGTCCCAAAGGCAATGATGACACCAAGTGCTCCCCATGGCCTGGATGCTGGGGTGCTTTGCTTTCTTTCAGCCAAGGAAAGAACAAAAAGAAGAACAAAGAAGAGATCTATGCACGTTTGAACTGTATAAAGGAGAATACCACTTCTGCCACAGGCACGAGAGAGAAAACCAGTCACAATTACAATGTCATTAAAAGAAATAAAATACTTTGAACAAAAGGTGCATGTCACAATTCATATAGAACAGAATCTAGTTAAAAATTTCTCTCAAACAGAAATTCCTTTTGCCTTTTATTAATAACAATAATAATAAAACAACATTTACCAAAAAAAAAAAAAAAAAAAAATCCTAGATGATCAGGAGGAAAAGCTCGGAAAACGAAGGAAAAAATCTGTCTTCCCTACATTAAGCCAGGAGGAAAAAATTGAAAGA